ATATCAAGGTAGAAAAGTACTGTGATTGCAAAGTTTGGAAGCCTGTGCTGTTTTCTGCTGGTACCAATTAAGTAGCTAAAACTGTCTTGACTTGCCTTGCAGCTCATGGTGACTCACTGTCCTCAAGCTTTGTCTGGAAGCTGAAAACTAAGGCAGCACCACATTCTTGTTGACATCTGAAATTTTAAAAATAATTGAAAGAAATGAAATATTATTGAGGTTAACAATTCACTCTATGATCTTACTAGGTTATTAAAGTCTGTGCATGCTCTGTGAGAAATCACATTTCACAAACCAAAAAACCACTCAAGAATCAACTTATAGAAAGAAGAAATCAATTTTCATGATCACTTGTACAATATTGACAGCACCTGAAACTTTGTTACATGTTTGGTTGAATGCGCACATGTTCAGCATTCAGTATACATCCCCAGTGTTTATTTACTAAAGCAAAGTCTATGCTAGCACTATAACTCAGCATGTCCTTGTCTGGGAATATTCCCAAGAGAAATGAGAAAAAAGACAAGTACAAGAATATTTCTGAAAAACTTTATCAGTAATACACACAAACTGAAAACAAGTCACTAATTGAACACTGAATAAATTAAAGTAGATTTATTCTACAGTAAAAAGGAACAACTTCCTGCCACAAAAACAACATAGGTAAAACTCAGAAATATGTTGTTCAGAAGAAGCAAGACACGAAAGCTACTGTATAAACACTCTTATGGGAAATTAGAGAAAAAGGAAAATTGATGATTAGCAACATGAAGTAGATGACAGTGGCCTAGGATGCCGCAGATGGAACAAGAATTGATGGAAGGAGCCTGGGGAGTCTGCTAAATGCTGGAGACAGTCACATCTTACTTTGGGTAGTGGGTAGAGAGGGACATGTGTATGTTAATATTCATCAATCTGTACATTCTTTTATTTTTTTTTTTTTGAGACAGATTCTCAAGCTATCCCCCTGGGTAGAGTGCCATGGCATCTCGCTCACAGCAACCTCCAACTCCTGGG